ATTCAGCTTTTAATAAAGGATTAAACGTTCTTTTTCAGAATTTATCGATGTGTAAACTCTGACTTTTTACTCACAAACTGAATAAAAGTGCGAAGCACTTTTATGTTGCAAAGTTGCAGACCGACGACGTCGTCGATTTGGTCTGGTTCGTTCAAACATTTAGGAAGTTCTGGGATCTGTAGGATGTAAATATATGGATTTAATGCTGATAAGGCAAGAGTCTGAGGTACGTTTCTTTTCCCTATCACAACGTTACCAACTGAGCTGATATGGCACGTCGAGAAATTGACAGCATGATCAGCGATTTTTTAATTGACACTCGTGATCCGACAGTGACATAAACATAATATTCCCGTCTGTCAGTCTTGTTTATCTCCTTTTTATACATTCATTCATTCATTCATTCATTCATTCATATTTTATTTCAAGTTTCTTGTAATCATATTTTAGCTAAAACAGACTAGAAGTCTCTGTTTTCATTGTTTTAGAACAGTCAAGAAAGTAGTTCTGATTAAAAAAAATTCATCGATGTGTAAACTTTTTCTTGAATTTGTTCTCGTCCAATCAAAACACAGAGAATCAATAAATAAAATTAAGATTGGAATTATTGCCATTTATCAATGATGGATTGAAACTGTGCAAACGCCTGCCTTGACACCGGACCTCGGTTCTTAAGGCCTCATCCAAAGGAACCGCAACTCACGACCTTCCTATATATACAGAACAAGCGCTCTTGCGACTGAACTACAGTGACAGTATCATAATAAATGACGTTTTTGTCAGTTCATTTCAAATTACTAGTGTTAATATACAAACGAAGGTTTAGTTCATTTCAAATTATCAATATAAACTAGAAACTTTGTTGCTACAGCAACAAAGAAGGTCTTCCTTTCTCCTCTATTTATCTACATGAATCAGCTTTAATCTATGTTAAAAAGGCATATAATATTTTTAATGATTGTAGGAAAACAAACAGCCGGAGGTGTAACTTACCAAGATTCTTCACTTTACTTTAGACAATTATAGTCTTAATAACATGTACAAAAATCATTTTCAATTTTTTATCACTTCCTGTGACGACCAGAAGGAACGGCGTACGCATTTTACCCTATATTTGTTTTATTCATATAAGTTTAGTGTCTTGATCTGTTACAGTTTAAGAGATCTCGTAATATTATCTTCTCATTTTGAGGACAAATAATCACGTGACCGAAAGTAAATTTTTGAAAAGAGATTTGAGGTTACTCTAGATATTTCAGTTTAAATAACATGTCCTAAAATCATTTCTAATGCTCTTCTTATCAAAAATATTTATGGTATAGTATAATACTAAATTTATGCAGTTTTTCTTCATAATCGGAAGTTGTCCATTTTGTTTCCAGTGGGACTGACATATTTCAAAACTACAAAAAAGATGCTATAATGTATTACTATGAAAGATTCCATAAGAAAACTTTTTATTCATTTGTTCACTTCCTGTGACAACCGGAAGTGACGGTGGACAATCTTTTCCTGACTAGTTTTGCTTACACATCAAGATCTACCACTTGTAAAAGTTTGGTGTCTTAATCTCTTACCGTTTACGAGATCTAGTTATGATAACTTCTCATTTTGAGGACAGGAAATCACGCAACCGGAAGTGAATTTTTGAAAGATAGTTGGCGTTACTTAAGACAGTTACAGTCTTAATAACATATCCAAAAATCATTACAAATACTGCATCTATAAAAAATATTTACTGGAAAGAAAAATACTCAAATTATGAAGCTTTTCTCTTATAACCGGAAGTTGTGTTCTTTGTTTTCAGTGTTACTGACTTTTTTCAAAACTACAAATAAGATGCTATTGTGTGATAAAAAAAGTTTCCATAAGGAAAAGTTGAATTTTTGGACTTCTTTGATCACTTCCTGTGACGATCGGAAGTGACGACAGACGATCTTATCCACCATGGAATTGCTCACTCATCAGGATATACCACTTGTCAAAGTTTGGTGTCTTAATCTCTTACTGTTTAAGAGATCTAGCTATAATAATTTCTCATTTTGAGGACAAGAAATACACGCAACCGGAAGTGAATTTTAAAAAAAAAATAGTTGATGTTAGACATTTGCAGTCTGAATAACATATCCAAAACAGTTGCAAACACTTTATCTATAAAAAAATATATATTGGAAAAAAAATATTCAAATTATTTAGTTTTTCTCTTATAACCGGAAGTTGTCGTTTTTGTTTCCGGTGGAGCTGATATATTTTGAAACTACAAATAAAGTGCTATAATGTGATGCAATAAACGTTCCATAAAAGAAAAGATAAAATTTCCGATTTTTTGACCACTTCCTGTGACGACCGGAAGTGACGCGGACAATCTTAACCCAAATGTTTTTCCCTTTTTGTCAAGATATAATACTCCTAATAGTTTGGTGTCTACATTTCTTACCGTTTCAGAGATATAGCTATAAGAACTATTCACTTTGAGGACAGGAAATCACGCGACCGGAAGTGAATTTTCCAAAGATATTTGACGTTACTGTAGTCATTTTGCAGTCTGAATAACACTTCTAAAAATCATTTCGAAAACTTCATCTATAAAAAATATTTATGGGAAAGAAAAATACTGAAAATATGCAGTTTTTATCTAATAACCGGAAGTTGTCGTTTTTTTTTCCGGTGGGACTGACATATTTAGAAACTAAGAGTAAGATGCTATAATATGATGCTAAGAAACATTAAAAAAAGAAAAGTTTAAAATTTAGATATTTTAAGAACACTTCCTGTGACGACCGGAAGTGACGGCGGACGATCTTAACCCAATTGGATTTGCCTTTATCAAGATCTATCATCCCTTTAAGTTTGGTGCCTTAATCTCTTACCGTTTCTGAGATCTCACTCGTATTAAATATTTTTTAAAAAAGCGGAAATCGGACATATCTGACGACCGGAAGTGAATTTTTAAAAAATTAAAAAAACGTCTCGGGGTATTTTCATTCTCTATCATCCCTGAAAATTTCAGGAAAATCCGTCCAGCCATCTCCGAGAAATCCTGCCTACAAGATTTGGGGAAAAAAATAATAATAAGAATAATAACTAGAAACTCTTGTTGCTACAGCAACAAAAACGGTCTTCCGTTCTCTTCTATTTATCTGTATGAATTAGCTTTTTAGAAAGGCATATAATATTTATAATGATTACGGGAAAAGAAACAGCCGGGGGTGTAACTTGTCGTTTTGTTTCCAGTGGGACTGACATATTTCAAAATTACAAATAAGATGCTATTATGTATTACTTAGAAAGATTCCATGAAGAAAAGTTGAATTTTTTAATTTATTTGATCACTTCCTGTGACAACCGGAAGTGACGGCAGACAATGTTAACCCAAGTGGATTTTCCTACTAATCAGGATCTACCACTCCTTCAAGTTTGGTGTCCTAATCTCTTACCGTTTAAGAGATGTAGCTATGAAAACTTCTCATATTAAGGACTGGAAATCACGCGACAGGAAGTGAAATTTAAAAAGATATTTGAAGTTACTGTAGACATTTGCAGTTTAAATAACATATCCAAAAATCATTACAAATACATTATCTATTGAAAGTATTTATGGGAAAGAAAAATACTCAAATTACGTAGTTTTTCTCTTATAACCGGAAGTTGTCGTTTTTTTTTTTTCGATGAGACTGAAATATTTCGAAACTACGTATAAGATGCTATAATGTGATGCCAAAAAAATTCATAAAAGAAAAGTTGAAAAATTCGATCTCTCAGATCACTTCCTGTGACGACCGGAAGTGACGGCGGAGAATCTTAACCCAAATGGTTTTGCCTACTCATCAAGATCTATCAGTCCATAAGTTTGATGTCTTCATCTCTTACTGTTTACGAGATCTCTCTATGATAACTTCTCATTTTGAGGACAGGAAATCACGCGACCGGAAGTGAATTTTAAAAAGATATTTGACGTTACTGTAGACATTTGTAGTTTGAATATCATATCCAAAAATCATTCCAAATACTTTATCTATAAAAAATATTTATGGGAAAGAAAAAACTCAAATTACGTAGTATTTCTCTTATAACCGGAAGTTGTCGTTTTTGTTTCCGGTGGGACTGACATATTTCAACACTACAATTAAGGTGCTATAATGTGATGCAAAAAAAGTTTCAAAAAAGAAAAGTTGAAATTTTCGATATTTATGAACACTTCCTTTGACGACCGGAAGTGACGGCGGACAAATTCTTACCCAAATGGATTTGCCTACTTATCAAGATCTATCATCCCTGTAAGTTTGGTGCCTTAATCTATTACCGTTTCAGAGATCTCACTCGGATTAAATATTTTTGAAAAAAGCGGAAATCGGACATATCTGACGACCGGAAGTGAATTTTGAAAAAATGAAAAACGTCTCGGCATATTTTCATTCTCTATCATCTCTGAAAATTTCAGGAAAATATCTGTCCAGCCATCTCTGAGAAATCCTGCCGACAAGATTTGGGAAAAAAAATAATAATAATAAGAAAAAACAGTAGAATCACTATAAGGTCTTCCGTCTGAAACGGAAGACCTTAATAAGAAAAAACAGTAGAATCACTATAAGGTCTTCCGTCTGAAACGGAAGACCTTAATAAAATATTTATCTTCAATCGGTCTTATCCTTCAAAAATCCTATGAATTCATTAGCTAAACGGTACATTACGTTGTCAAATACAATATAAAAACGCATATGCCCAAAAATTGGAATGAACAGTCAGCAACAAAATAACGACAAAATGGTTAGTATTTTTACAAATTATATCATAATAATGACAATTTACGATTTTTCAAAATGCTGCTTTTCAACAACTTTATTGAAATCATGTGCAGTTCATTCTAAACCTCTCAATATTTTCGTGAACAACTCAGACGGTCATATAAATAAATTATGAAAAACAACAGAAGATATTTTACGCATTACATTTATTAAAGCATCAAAATCAAGTCTATATAATTATGAAAACACAATATGATAGAATGATGTGATTTTTCATAAATAAAATTTGATGTTTCAGGAATGAATCTACACCAGTGCATAACATAAAAAATCTAATTCTCAACGTTGTTAACTTCCTTTTAAAAGATTGGCAAATTGAAGGCTTTGCTTCTGCGGAATAGACATTCTGTGTTGTAAAAACCAATTTTTCTGGAAAGAGAAAGATAATATAGACCAATTTATTTGAATCATCAGGAGAGAGAGAGAGAGGGGAGAGGGGAATTTGGTTATGTAAAAAAATCATTAGCGATTTCTATTTTTGCAAAAGTTAAACTTTTAATGCTTTTATTCACATCCATTTTATCTAACACCAATATCTAAAAGTTATCTGAAAGTTACTTTTGTATAAGAGAGAACCTTGTTAAAAAATCAAACATGTATAGATTATATGATAAAAAATTTAAAACTGCACAGCACTTTTTCCTGTTTTGTTTTTATGTATGAGGTGATCGCATGCCATATTGTAATTTGTTTGTCAGTGTTGGTTTTTACATGAAGGTTGGGTCAGTGTGGGATATACATTGCACATGTATAATTGCAAAATATAACAAAAAACTACTTGCCCCTGAGGAAGAAAAAGAGGAATGGATCCAACTAGATAATATCCGGGGTTAGTTGGAGACGGGTATTTTGGATCCTCCACTCGAAAATACTGAACGCATTCTTTCGGGTTATAGGTGACACCTAGTGCTGCAATAGAAATGAGCAGAAATGACCTAGAGCTGTGTAGAGTTAAAAAAAATAATGAATACATTCATAAGTATGTAAAAAAATATATTAAATTAAACAAAGAACAAAAGGATCCCTTAGTTGAATAAATCTGAATTGGAAAAAGAAAGTACAAATTTATTCATCTTCTATTTAATTTGAGAGACCTTTATTTATATATACAATTGATGGCAGTTATTGAGCGTTTGCTCTTTAGTGGGAGAGTTAAGTTTAGTCCTTATGACGTCAAGAATTCGAATTCAACTGCAGGACGAAATCGGTCCTCTGCATGAAACTTGCTCAATTGCCCTGAATACCGATTTTAGAACTGAATTTGCAGTCCTTCTCCGACAAGTGAAAGGGTCTCAAATAAGAATTATGGAAGGGACGTTCACAACGCAAACAATCAATTAACATTTACATGTAATTTATTAAATCAACCGAATATATTTCCTGAAAAGACAACTCTACGACAAACAGAATGTTGGTTTCAAATTTAGATTGAATCATTCTTAACACATTATATTTTTGATTACCATCAGAGTTCTTACCCCATAATATCGCTGAATCAATCTTTTCTATCCGCAAGCAAATTTCTTGTACATCTTTTTTGTTTGAGTGGGAATGCATTAAACGTTTATCTAAAATTAGATTTTTGTTTTTGGGGAAAAAGTTCGGCAAAAATGTGTACCGTGTGAATAGTGTAAATAAAATCAGTGAGGGATCTTTTTGTGCTAACACTTAATGCAACACGGGACCTTGGTTTATACAATCTCATCCGAAAAGACCGGTCTCTACGTCCCACAGTGGGATTCGAACCGGTGACATACAGGTAAGGATCCACTCCTTACACCGCCACTCTAGAGCAGACGCTCTAACCGCTACGCAATGTCTAACTTTAAGTAAATTCAGTAACTATATATTATATGCTGTAATGGTAAAGATCAAAAGTGATACGTATAGAGGCTAACTCTAAGTAAATTCATTACTATATCACAACACAATGTACGAAAATTTAATTAAATCTTTTTTTTTCAAATGACGGAGTTTTATTTTTCTCATAAAGTATAAACTTATATAAATGTATACATATATATATATAGAATATATATAAAAAAGTATATCATTTGAATATAGGATTACAAGGATACCTTTATAATACTTTACTGCCACATCTCCGTATCTATTCCTAGGAACTGCCGAGTATCCACTAACAAAACCATTGTTCGGGCATTGGTAAGGACGAGGTAAAAAGATATTAATATCTAATGGTAGAATATTAATAAATTTAGTTATGAAATAAATAAGTACTTTGCCTTGTATACTGATAATATTCAACACTTGAACATTTAACATTGTGTCGTATTGAAAAATATGTGTTTTAAGTATTCAAAATTTTCTGTTCGGTAATTTTTCGCTTAATCTCATCAGTATAATTTCTACAGATTAAATATAACGTAATGCGAATAGTTACTTATCATTATACACTCTTCGATGGGCCCCAGTGGCGGATCACAATTTGGAATGGATACTCCAAAACAAGGTCGGAATGAAACTGGGCTGCCATTAGCGCAATAGTTGTCCTTATCAAAATGTTGAGAGAAAGTTACACCTGTATGTATATGAAAAAGAAATAAATTAAATACTGTAAATCTACAAGCTCTTTTTTTCTCATGAATGTCGAAGATTTAGGTAGGAAAAATAAATAAATTTATAGAAATGATGCAACCATTTCCTACACAAAATCGCATGTACGTCAGGAACTTCTGTGAAACCGAAGCCTACCATAATATTTATTTTTTCCAAAGGGAATTGTTATATATTGAATCAAGAAAGTGAAAATGAACAGTGATTTGTACATGTACAATATGTATCACGTTCTGTATATAGCCCTTATGTGAGATCTAAAATTTAGGCGCCAATTGGCTCTTAACCAAAAATATTTCGTCGCCAATCCAAATGTTTAGTCGGCAAGTAAATTTTTGTTAAGCGTTAATTTAAAAACTAATATTAGTCAATATATAGAGACATGTCCATTCCTAAGTTTTAAACTTCGTTTCTGCTCCTTATAAAGAATTTTTTTTTAAATTTCTGTAATATGACGATCACCAAGTCAATTCTAAATTTATCCCCAAATCACTTTCAGAAAAATTGTAGGGGCCTATCACAATTTTTAGGCGCCATAGCGACTTAATTAGTTGCAAATTAGAGCCCTGGTTTAGCCTTTAACACCGTGTAAAATGCTAAAGAAAACATATCTTTTTAAAAATTCTGTTCAGGCATTTGTGACCTGGTTACCTTTTATATCAGGTTTAGACATTCCCTTTTTAGCAAAAAAAAAAAAGAAAGAAAAAGAAAAGAAAGAAAGAAAGACATTTTTTGGAAAAACTTACAAATGATATGGGAATGATTAACATTTGATTAAGGCGTCTGAGGATTTAAGAATGACGGGTAATGCTTTCGAAAAATCTTTTTTTTTTGTCAAGTATATATATAGTATCTACAAACATAGCTTAATAAAAATATGAAAACAAAACGTTGGGTAAATCTGTTTCTTTTTACGCTTGGGTACATGTTATATGACCTTTCTGTCATGAGATCGGGTTTTAAATGATAAAAAATAATTTTTTTATCAAATAAATCCTTGAATCCAATATACTCTGATCATAGAGACTCGTCAAAAATCAACTTGTGAACTTTGGAAAGTGTAATTTTGCTCACATTAAAGATTTACCATGCAAAGAAAAATATGTTAGACTTTTAAACTTTTGCTCTATTTAAGCAGAATGATTAAATGTATGCTGAATATTCTGGAAAGAAAATGACAAGAGGGCATCTATGATACAGATTTATAGGTACAAGTATTCCCAAAAGAAAAAATATATAACTGGCCTTCTTTATACTGAATGTTTAAATTTTTTGCTGTATTTTCACAATATGATGGTGGAGTTCATGAAATTTAATTGTATAAATACTTTACTTCCAGCATAAAACATGTCCTGCACAAAATAATTCTTGTGTAACATGCCAGTAAAAATGGGAATTCAATTTTAAAGTTACCCTACAAATTTCAAAAGAAAATGTTTTCTTTAAAACAAAAAACTGCCGCCACTAAATATAGTTCCACATTTCATGCCTTTTTTACGAAATTTAATGCGAATCAAACTTATGCAGAAGCAGATCCATTTGACATAATGGAAAGTGTCTGTATACATATTTTAATGATTAACAAAATTTTCCTTAATTTTCCACTCAAAAATAGCATAAGTACCTATAGCTGACCACCGACAAGTGGAATTTGACTAAATTTTGCTATTACGCATGCGTCAGAATTTAATTCGAATTAGCTTCGCTTAGCGTTCACACGGAGCTAATGCGAAAGAATTTAATGCGCAGTAAACTAATTCGAATTAAACTAACTCGCATTAAATTCTCCGTGTGAACGCTAAGCGAAGCTAATTCGCAGTAACTTTACGTTTTAATCGAATTAAACTCTCCGTGTTAACAGGGCATAAATCGCCTTTTCTCAAGGGTATACACTTAATAGATCTAAATCATTTTTTGAAAAGTTAGTTTCCTTAGTTTGAAAAGTGCTGCAGCTTTCCGGAAATATTTAATAAATGCTTTGAATAATGATAAAGGTCACACAGATTTCAACTTGAGCTTCATTTCTCGAAATTTATACTTATAAAATGCTAATTTGAACTCTTAATAAAGCACAGCACTTGTCCGAATGTACTAAGCATAAATATATATGAGCCGTTCCAAGCAAAAACCCCCCTTATGTCAAAAATTTTCGAAAATGACTTTTTTCTTGAAAAATGATGTAGAACCTTAGGTGAATATAACCTGTAAATATTACAGGTGTATCTTGCTCCTTTACGGATTTACAGGTATTCAAAGTATGCATCATTTATTCGGCTGACGTAATATTTTAAAAAGTTTCTCTTGTAGCGACGTCGACATTATAGCGATAATAAAAACTTGTCCCCAGCAAAACCCTCCCTCATGTGATTTTTTTATTCAAAAATCTTTTTTTTATGTTTATTGAATGTATAAACTGTAAACATTATTTTCTGAAAATATAAATGTCATACGATCAGTTGTTTTTATTTTATACGCCATTAAAAACAATAACTTTTTTTCAATTTTGACTTCATTTTATTTCTTATAACGTCGCCAAAAGGCTTTCACTCTTC